TCTCTCTCTCTCTCTCTCTCTCTCTCTCTCTCTCTCTCTCTCTCTCTCTCTCTCTCTCTCTCTCCAAACCTTTTGTTATTATATATATATATATATATATATTCATGTGCATTTGCATACATCTTCGAAAATGTAATACTTCTTTATCTTTAATAATCTTCAATTACATCTTCGATCGTGTTAACCATGAGTGAGCTTGTGCTTTGCGTTCTGAATCCGTTGCTATGATCACATTGATTAGAGAAGGGCCATCTTTCTTGGAATACGCCTACAAAACAGACAATTACTGATAGACATACTTCATGAGTCAACCTTATCGAGGCATTTCTTGATTTCCGTTGTTGATTTGACTATAAATCCATCACCACCGAGAGATTTACACATCAAATCATACCGACATTCTGGAGTCAGGGATAAGACCGGATATCTGAATATCGTTATCTCTCTTCAATCAAGTATTAAAGTTTCAACTGAATGGTAGGATCTCCTTCGATCGAATTCATATCCTCGGGTAAAAGACCACGATAAATTCCACTGTTATTAAGAATAACTGTGACAACTGGCAATTTATATCTGGAAACATTCAATTCTCATATATATTCTGAAGATTAAACCTGGCAATCGTTTCGAGTTCCATTCCTGAAAACCCGAAAGCGCTGTCTCCTTGAACAACCAAAACCTTTGAAAAAACGAAAATGCTGAAAATGAAACTCTGTCCTACTTTTGTTGAAGGAGAATGATCACGACAGTACAATGCAGCAGCTAGAGCATACCCTTGTCCTACACCCATTGTACCTGAAGAGTTCTTAATAAGTTTAAGTTTCTAATACAAAACCATACCGAAGGTACCGGCATCTAAACGTCTTTTTGGTTTTGTCGATGGCATCATTGTTCGTCCGATATCCATGGTATTTGCTCCCTCATTCACAACAATCACATCATTCTTCATTATGAACTCGCGGATCTGTATTTCACTATGACTCTAATGTAGAAAATGTAAAACCTTACAGGATGGTAAGCCGCATAATAATTCAGTGGTAGTTTGTGGTCGTGTGCATAACTCTCAACGATATCCCTACATCAATATTTAAACTTAGAGAAAAGTCTGCAAACCTGTTCTTATCCGAAACTTCTTTCAAAGCTTTGAACCATTCAGTTTTCTGACTGAATTTCCAATTGTTCCAATTTTCGACAATCTATTGAATTCGTTATGAAAAAAGTTGAATGAAAGAAATGAGATGGACTTCTGATAGAGTTTCTCCTATATCTCCGAGAAGTGGGACTGTTGTTTCGATATTTTGATGAAATTCTTCAGGGCTTAGGTCGATCTGACGATAGTTTAATAATGTAAGTAATAAAATGATAGCAAACCTGAACTATTTTGACATTGTTGCCAAATCGAGGTGGAAGACCAAAGTGTAGCATCCAATTGAGACGGGCTCCGAGTAAAATAACGCAATCGCTTTCACGAAGAGCTTTCGATCGAGCGGGACCGACATTTCTCAAAATAAAGGAAATATCAAATTTGTCTATCATTAATTTTATTTTCTAAGATCTTTGAATACCTTTCACACAAATCTGACGCTACACCTTTTCCTCCTGGTGTCGCGAGCCAAGGTAATCCAGAACGTTCCAAAAAATTTCTTACGTTCTCTGGACCATGCTGTGACCAGGCACACCCTGCAAAAAGAATCAAACTATGTACAACGTTCATATGTTGTGCTTCACCTTTTCCAACAATAACCAAGGGATTTTTAGCGTTTTGAATGCATCTAATAGCTTCTTGAATCTGTGAACGAGGTGGGATAGCAATCGGACCAGGAAGTGGAACAATTGAAACCGAACTAACGAAAAAAACTCAATGAAATGAACTCTTATTGATGGATTACGGAATTTGTTCCTCTTCAATATTGGAAAGTACTAGATTTCCTGGAATGTCGAGGTAGACTGCCCCAGGTCGTCCATACATAGCAGAGCGAACAGCCTTTGTTCACAAATATTTACTACAATTATTACAAAATATTCACCTTTTCCACATGGATTGGTATGCTTTCAAGAGAAGCAGGTCGGCTAACATATTTACAAGAAAGTCGGGCGCTTTCGACTTGTGGCCATTCTTGAAACGCTCCACGGCATTCTTGATCCACATCAGAGGAACCTCCTATACAGACGACAGGCCTTGATAGACAATAGAGCATCCACTACATAAACTATATTTTACCAACAGTTGACAGTAGCATTAGCCAGTCCTCCAATTACATGTAGTAATCCTGGGCCAGAAACAACCAAGCATGCGACTGGACGATGAGTCAAATAACCCATTGCTTGAGCAGCGTAGCAAGCCTCAAAAGATGAATAAAGAATATATAGATTATTTCCTTTTACAGCTTGTTCATTTCTACATCCAACATATTTGATACCAAAAGCTTGAGCTGCCATTCCAATTTCAATGATAGGAAATCCGACAACTCCGAACATGTACTCGACACCCTATGAAAAAACGTATCCAATTGCACGATGTTCATAACTCACCTGTTCTTTCAAGCATTTCACTATAAGAGAAGCTCCATCCATTTTTTGAAATGTTCTTAAAAATGTAATAAATTTGAAAATATATTTATATAATATAAAGTGATAGTGAAATGACATTCTTATCTTTACTTATCAACAAGATGAACTGATCGATAAAAGGTACAAAGGTCAATCAATAAAATAATTCCTTCTAACAACAACTTATACAGTTTTTTGTAAATCTTCCCGCATTGCTTCCAATTCATTAATGAGATTTTGCACAATCACCTGTAGTTTACAAATTCAGAACCATAATGTTTAGAAAGAACCTGATGTCGTTCACTTTCATCCTTCACTCCTTCAATTAAAGTTTGCTTCTCTGTTAAAATTTCATGTAAACGAGCCAGAATCTGTCTTGATGCTTCTGTCAAACTATCCTATTGGAGGCTGTTGACTGTTTGACATTGCTTCACTCACCATGTTATTACTATATATTTGAGTTTCTGCTTCTGATTCGTTAGCTTGCTCCTCACTATTTAACATTTCTTCAATCTGCTATTATTCTTTAGGAATTATAATTCAAATGTTGATATTACCATTTCTTTCTGTTTCTCATCATCTACTGAGTTGAAGATATGAGAAATTTCGGATTGAAGGCCTTTTAACTTGGATAAAACTAACTTGGATTCAACAGATAGTGCTTCGACATTATTAAATTCATTAGCATGCGTCACAATAAATGGAAAAATTATGGAAAATAATATAACTGGAGTATTCATTGACGATCTTTACAATATCAAGACGGATATAGAGAACTGGATTGTATATCACTAACAACATCATTTTACTAACCCAATATCCACAACCCTCCCCTTACACTTACGTCAACAGCAATGTTTTATTATGATAAAATATATTTTATGATAATTTTTAGTTTTGTTCTGATATCCACTAATTCAGAGAGCAAGGTAAGTCCTGAACAAACCGTATCAAAAGAATTATATATTTTGTTTTCCAGGTAGTTAAATGCAAAATTGAAAGCTTCATAGAATCACTGACAAATGATCAAAAAAATGATGTTTGATAAACAGTCTTTATGGATTTTCTTTACTTTCCGTCATTTCAGTTGTTATATCTGTGGATGAATTATACTAAAGGCTATTGTCGAGACAATCTCAATAATACCAGTGTAGTTGATCCTACCCATGAGTCTTAATGACTCAATCATTTTAGATTTTATCAATCTTCCTCAAAAAAGAGCCGGAAGAGATGAATAGTATAAGAAGTTTTATGATGCTTCTTCCTATTTCTTCTCAGATTAAATTTCAACAAATATGGAAGAATGACACCATTCCCAGAAAACAAAAACCATTTTTAATCGCTAAATTAGCAAAACAAGTACTTGATTTCTAATTTCTCCAATTTTCTTTTATATGTTTTGGATGAGAATCAACTGAACGTTTTCGAAAAACTTCAGGAACGAATGATTAAAAAACAAATGATTTTTCAAAGAAAGGTCTGTTTTTTTCTTTTCTTATTTATCTTTTTGTGACTTTTGGACTCATACGTTCCATAGAAACATGTCAATTCTTTCCACGTGCATATGTGTGAGTCAGGAAAGTCGTTAATCATTTCGTGCAAGCATATCGAACTGTTGTTTTCTCTCATTCTCTCGCATTTTAAGAACTATCTTATTATATCATCATACCTTCTTTTTATCTTTTCGTCTTTATATGTTGTTCTATTCTTACCTGTGTCAATTTTGCTCGCGTATGTTAGCAAACTACGATAGAGCTCATGATAAGAAATGTACAACGATTTCAAACATCTGTTGTAATTAGCAATTTCTAAGCTTCCAATCCTCATATTGTATAAAATTCTGAGTATTTCCAGCTATCTCAATTGACAGATGAAGCCGCAATCGCTCATAATGAACTGATGAAGCTGCGCGAAGAACATCATGGAATATTCAAAAAAGTAAAAAAGTAAAAAATAATTTTGAACAGAGATCATGAGTTCCAGCTAACCCCAAACATTCGTAAAGAATTGGATGATCTGTATAGTTAATGGAGAAGAAGTTGTTTGAATAAGCCAAACAAGAAAATATGCAAATGAGCGGAGAAGAAGTAGAATATAATTTAAAATCTCTTTAATTCGTCTGACAAAAAGGAAAAAAATCGTTTTTTTAGTAATCTTGTTATAGAACTGATATCACAATTTCTAATAAAAGAAAAAGAAGATCATTGTATAACTACATATAATTAACAAAAAGATAACTATAACATAATAATATCTTCCTATTATGGGGATGGGAGAAGGGTTCCTGCTACAATACCCGAATAACGTAGGGAAAGATGTTTTGTATCAGAAAATAAAAATGAAATTTGTGAGAGATGACATTTTGAAAAAAAATTTAATTTCATTTGAATTTCTAATGACGACCATCCAAAGCGTCGAGATATTTGTAATCGATCAATCTCGGTATTAACGTGTGTCTATAAAACAAAAAAATTCATAAGAATAAAAAATGATTCCCTACCTGATAGGTAAAAAGAAGAAACATACAATAGGAAAAACCATTTCAACAAACGGATAAGGTGAAAAGCCAAAAGCACATAATATTAATAGTTGTAATAATTGGCAAAATGTGAAAAGATGAACTTTTCGCTGAGGAACTTTACGGATGTAGTGAGTTGGAGGATAAGCTTGCTATAATAGATTTAAGAAAGTATTTGACACGATCATGTGATCAACTTACTTGTTCTGTAATGAGTAACAATAATCTTTCAAACATCTCATTGCCAGATAAGGATGTTAATGCCATATATAAAAACAATCCATGTAGTACAGACGTTGGAATTTGTTGTAAAGGATAAGGTATCAAATAAAAAGTTGAGAATAATATTAAGATATGCGCAATTAATGTAGCCATACGTGTTTCCCGAACATTCATTATCCTATAAGTATTGTATAGAGATAGATCTGGCTTTTGTTTAGACTTACACTTCATGCACATGTCCCTGTGAAACTCGTTCTTCGACGTCAGCTAAAGCTCGTAAATGAAGCGGAGAGTGAGGTAAAGCTCCATGCATCCATGGTAGACCAACTAACGAAAGTCCTATATTGAGCATCGCAACAACGAATAAATCCAAATTCTGAGTTTGACCCTTTTTCAATCTGAATTGAAGCAATTGAAAAGAGGGAAGTAGTCTTTTGGTTTACTTATTTTGAGAGTTATTAACTATCGCTGACGTTATGTTCTGATCAATAAAAAATAGAAATGATAACGAAAATCCGAGCAGAAGACACACAAAATATCCTGAAGGTGGTAGGGAAAAGATATCGGCTACTTGTAGTAGAGGAATTTCTGTTCTCATCTTGAATCTATCTTCTATAAAATAACTTGCGTAATGAGTTAATTATACTAAAACAAACTTTGCACATCTGCAAAAAGATATGATCCTATGAAAGACATTATAAGAACAGACGCAGGCAAGGCATAATCAGCTAACCATTCACGACGTGATCTAGTGAGGTATGGAGTCTACAAAATAAAATAACATTTTTTTGAACTTGAAAGTGCAAACTTTTCTAAAATTGAAGAGGAAAAGCCCAAGCCATAATGTTCCAAACATGAGAAGCATATACAATATGGTGGTATCTCTACGACAAACAGTTGTTGAAATCTGAAAGATTATAACTTAGATATTTGGAGAAATGAAAAGACCATTGTTTCATGCAATACTATTCTGATCAGTAAACGGTTTCATTTTCGAATCAAGCCGCAAAAGCCTTCCAATGGAAGGATCAACATAACAAAAGTTATAAAGAGACTATTGGTGTGTGGACAGATAATCTTTTTAGGGAGAGAAAATAGCTGAAGAAAAGTTACGTCAATCGCTGGTGATGTTATAGATGTGAAATTGTTCATTAAAGTAGCTCCTAAATCACTTCCATTCCTTATGAATTCATCTGGATCCTCACACCCATTGTAGTTCTTCACAAATACTGCAAAGGTCACAAGATGATATTAAAACTGAACGAGAAGAACTTACTATTATGTAGTGCCCGAATACTTTCAACAGTGAAAGCTATGGCTATGAACAATGAAAACATTTCTTCTGCCGATCTGATCAATAGGATAAAAAGGGAACCTGTAAAAAAAATCTACCTAGTAGCTAATTTCATCAAAGAGCATAACTCAGTAGCCGAATAGAGCACCAGGAACAGCTGACAAACTAACCCAACGCAAGCGTACATTGCGAAGAAATCATATCCCAGCTCTTCGGATATCTTATAGATTACTGAAACGTGATTAGAATAGAATGAACGATCAGCTCCATTATCTCAAAAGAACCTTTTATGTAAATAGCTAACGGAACTGTTGTCAAAAGTATAATCATAGGCTGTCCACCAAATAGCGAGAAGAATATTCCACCGACAGCTTGAGCTATTATAACTTTACGTACGTCTTCAAACAAAAAATAATATTATGAACACTATGAGAAACATACTTATTCCACCGTTTGTATTGTCGTCATTCAATACTCCAAACGCTATAGCTGGCAATAAACAAGCAAAGTATAGGAAGACAACTGTAGAAAACAGCTTCTGAAGAGTTCGATGCCCTGTCAGGCCATCCATAAAATCAGATGGATAGTATGGTAAACGGCGAATAAACTCTTCCTTCAATCCTCGAAATGGATACCAAGCGTTTGGGCCAAACTGCAATGTTTGGTATATTGTATTGAAAATACTTATTTAATATTTAAATTAATATATGATCGTGGATAGAATGCAGGCGTTTTCGAGGGTTTACTAAGTAACTAACAATCTGTTCTTTTGCTTGGCTTAGATGAATTGATGTTTTCCTCTCTCGCCATTGATTTTGATCCATTGCGAGCTCTTTTGCTGCCGAAAGAAGAGTTGACCTTAAAAGACGAAGATTTTTCTCTTTTTTAATTCAATCTAAAAATGTTTTTCATTACCGAAATTGTTCCACTGTTTGAGCCATGACAAGCCTTTGACGAATTTCCATATCAGCGAAAAGTGTTGCAAATGTTCGTGTGGTTTCTAAAGCTGTCTTTGTTCCTTTCTGAACATTGGATAAATAAAAAAATGCTTGGAGATTGCATAAACTACAGCTCTACTCGGGGCTATGACGATAATAATGAATCGCAGGTCTTGCATCGTACGTCCTAAGTTAGTTGGATGTGATAAACGAGCAATGGCTACATGTCGATGTTGAACTGTGTTCAGCATACACCTGATATGCATGAAAAGTAAGATGCAACGGATAAACAGCTTACAATGCACAAATCCATGTTTGATCATAATCAAATGTTCCACCGATTGAACCAGTTGTACATATAGATTGAACTGTTCTACTAAGGATGTGAACTGCATAAGTAAAATATAATCAAGAATGAAGATGAAATGACGTTATACATTGATTTCCAGCATCTTGAGTGAATAGAACTGCTCGAACTTGCTCACTTGTGAATTCTGGTTCTTGGATATCCATCTCATGAATAATTCTAGAAGTTATGGAATTATGCTCAAGCTCAAACCGAATTAAGTTTTCATTTCATTTTTCTCATTCCTAGATGCATTTATTCGTAAAAGAAACATACTTTGCGAATATCTCCTCTAAACTCGTTTCCTGAAGATCAAGAAGCAAAACAGCTTTGTTTAGCAAGTGGTCAATGTCCATGGTGGCTCTGATTTCAGAGCCAAAATCTTTCATGGGGATCTTCTCATGTTTGGCGTACATTAATGTTACGTTATCATATTCATCTGGAAATAGTAAGATTCGAAAAAAAATGTTCATGAATTTCCCTCTTTTTTCATTTTCAGCCATATATAGCTTTTATGAATTTTTCGTTTAAGTTGCCATATTTGGCGCTAAGCATCATCCTTCAACACAACCCCCCCCCTTCCCTAACTATGGTAATCACATGACAATCAAGTGGTCGATTTTTGATGATTTTCTTGAAAACAACGTTGTCGCAAGCTTCTAACTATACAAGATATAGTTATTATAGGAATGAACAGATTAAAAGTATTCCGACTTGCAAAGGATCGAATGTACGATTTGTGTCTAATAATTCAGCTAATTCCCTTCCAAAAGGAGTGTTTGAAAACTTCAACATTACTCAGTTTGGAGAAGATTAATTAAAAAGAAGTTTTCTCCTTTTCTATTCTTCTTTCAGAAGGATGGCGAGGATTAGTTCGTTTAGTATAAAAGAGAAAAGCTTTTTAAATACGAAAGCATCACTTTCTATGTCAACAAAAAAAAAAGAAAAAAACAAGCTTCATCAAAAATTCATCCTGAACCATTTGTTTACAAATTCCTTTTATTTTATCTTTTTTTCTTATTCATTCATTTCATTTATTTTGTCTCTCCCTCTTTTCTGAGTTGAAGGAGTCCCTCGTACATTCTACTCTTTCTCTCTCTCACATAGTCTTGCTCCCTCTATCCCTCCTTCTTCCTCTCTTAACCTTCAACTATTCCCCTTGTTCCTCTGCTTTTACTCGCGAGCTATCAAGGCTGTTGCAACAAAAATTCCTTTGGATTCACCCTCTGCTTCCACATATTTTTCTTTCTTTCTCTCTCTCTTGTTCTTCTTTTCTTTCTTCATAATTTAATAGAGTGAAAAGGAAAAAAAGAAAAACTTAAATTCTCTAATATAGATGGAAACATATCAAAGCCTTGTATGGCTCACATATAATTTACTGAAAAGTGGGATGTGAAACAAAACAAAAAAAAAGATAATAGAGGCATCAGACTCGGCAGTCAGCTTACATTTTTCAAAAGTTGTCATCTGCATTTCATTTAATTTAGCTTTTCCTATTCATTAAAAGAGGACGAATATATTTATATATATGTGTATATATACTATATATGAAAGCTTTGTGCAACTCATATGAGAAAATGAAGGGAAACTTTTCTTTCCAACCCCTTCCTCATTCACTTTTCAAGCATATTATCATTTTAAAGAAAGCTTCAACAACAGACTGCATTGGCAAAGCGTAGGAGAAGAAGCTGAAGAAACAGAAGAAGAGGAAGACGAAGGAGGAGCAGCTCATTCACTCAATGTCTTTTCTCATAGACATCTTCAGTAAATCACTTTATATGGATGTATTTGGCTTGAGAGAGAAAGATAGAGAGAGAGGAAGAAAGGAGAAGTATGATGAGAGGGAGTTTTTACATTCAATTCAAACTGCATATATTACAAGGGAGATAGAAGAAGTGAGTAGAGACTTTTTTTGATATATGGTTTAAAGCACATAGTTTGCAAACTATATTTTATATATTCATATACTATATGTAGATTGAAAAAATTGCCGGAAATATGTCAAAGCATGATTCTGACATTTTCTCTAGCTCATTATTGTGAATGAAAGATTTAAAACTATTGTTATGTTGTTGGTTATGACTGAATGAAGTCTGCAGGATGTTTTAGCTTAATAGAAAATTCGAAAAAATTTCCTACATTTTTCTTCGATGACCAAAAATTTTCTGCTACTCTTATTTGCCTCCTCAAAATGCTTTATAATGCTTCTGGCGCACAAATCAAAGACAGCAAAGATGGCAAATTCGACAAAGGAAACGAAGGGTTTTATACTTGCATCAATCAATAACACCACTTTAAATATAGGGAAAAACCTACTTCCAACATTACTCCAGCTTAGGGTATCTAGTGGAGGAGTATCAGAATCAAACTCTCGTTCAATATCTAGTTGAATTTGGCTTCCATATTGCGATGCTGTTCTTAGTGGACTACCGCGATTTGATCCATTGCTTGGTCGCCGACCACGCTCTGAGTCTTGAAGGCTCTTCATTGACAGCCATGACACCCGCTTCGTTAACATTTTTGATTTGTCGATTGGTAGCACGTTTTGGTCCGCAGGTGCAGCTGCAGACGCACTATCCGAATTATCACCATTAGTCGATACAACAGAGTCCGGTTTAGGTGAAATTTTCAAAAGTTCAAGCTGTAGCGTCGGCTGACTGGCTCTACGCTCGAAGGTACGAAGAGGGCGGAAACCTATTGCAGGAGCACCTGTCTGTACACTTTTGCGCCTACTGACAACTGGACTGAGGTTCAAACTCAGTCTGGGTGGTTCCTGCGTTAACACATCAGATTCTTCTGATAGCTCTGATGGACACGGACAACTTGCTATAGAATTTCCCGACACATTAGAAACACGACGTTGTTCGGGCACATAAAGTAATGTATGCGACGTGCGGCGAGATATCGCTCTTTGTCTCGGATCGGGCTTCCTGATATACAGACCATAAGAACTAGACGATGCTGAACATGTTGTTAATATCCCCGCGGAACTTTCCGCAGATATAGGGAAAGATGATGTAGGTCTCGGAGATGTATTTGTTGCAGGTGAAGTTGTTGGACATGTGTAGGAAGTAATAGTTGTCAGAATTGGAGTACTAGACGAAACCGTCGTTGTTGTATTCGTGTTTGCTATGCCATTTGAGGCATTAGCAAGTATTCGAGGAAACTGATGATTATGCTGCTGACTATTGTTTGCTCGATATGTTAAAGTTTCAGCTTTATGCTGGCCAGGCGTCTGAATTACAATCGTTGTTGCTGCCGTGTTTAGACCAGAATTTCCTGACACAGCTGATTGTACTGCTGATGTCGTTATAACCACACTAGAAGTCGTAGTCAAAGAACTCAGCTTAACTGGAGTGCCAGATTGAAGTGGTTCAGTACTTTTCATCACCTCAACTGCCGATAGCACAACAGTTTGTGATGACTGAATAGGGAAATCTTAATCAAGCTTTATCCCATCGGAATTTCAGAAACCAGCTTCTGATAGCAAAGGATAACAGGTAGTCTGAGTTAATAGTCAATACTCATTAAAAAAAATATTTTTTCAGTGTCGAAAATGAGCCCAGCTTTAGAATTAACAGTCTATAGCCAATGTGAATAATGTTAAAACGGAGCTTCGACAGTGATAAACAGGCAGTAAGCTGGATCAGCGAACGGCAAGACAAGAAGAAGAAAAAATTTTCCAAAAATAATAGAGAAACTCAGATACAGAAAATCAAAGGATTGAAGAAACGCTTTAGGACGGTGCACAGTATCAAAGGAAGCGCACTAGAACAATTCGAATCAACTAGGGTCACCTTGACATGCGCTTGTGCCAGCATTGACTCGACATTGCCAATTCGCTGCGCTTTATGAGTGAAGCTCCGCCTTCGTTTGCCTCAAGCCTCCAGTATTCAGTATACTCTATAGAAGTCTCGGTTTCTCTTCGCCTCTCTTCACTACATCCTACTCCAAATCTAGCTCAACTAGATCGAAAAAAAGAACATAGTGAAGACGATGGCAGCAGAAAGCAAAAAAAAACTGAAATATTGAGAAGAAAAAAAATAAGAGGGAGGAAGAAAGAGAGAGGGAGAATGAACTGAACTGAGAAAACAAAAGAAAGTGAGAAAGAGGGGAAAAAATGTCAAAAAAGGTTGTGCCACCAAAACAACATTAACGAATAAGTAAATTAGAAAAGATAAGGATGACAACAAGGGAATGTGATACCATCCATCTCCTTCATCCAAATTCAAAACATTTGTTCTCGAGCCTTATTAACATCAATTGAGAAAGCTGTATGATTTTTCTCTCCTCATAATTTTCTGATATTCATCTGATGATCAACTTCATCATCCAATTCAGAGCATTTCATGTATTTTGGAAAAAAATGACTTTTTTCCAAATTTCTAAGCCCAAACTTATGTGCAGATTCAATTTAGGATTAGAGCTAGTGGTTTTCAGTTAACTATTCAGTTCCTCTCTATTCTTTATCTTCTTTCATTTCATTGTGGCTTCATCTCCAAAATTTGTCTTTTTCCTCAACTACAACGACAACGACAACTAAATATCAGTTAGAAGTTTAGACTTCTATGAGAAAAAATGAGGAAACGGAAGCAAAATGAAATTGATCAACCGGTCAAACCATGTTGCAACCTTCCGGCTTTCAAAATAGACGATAGGAAACTAGAGACTGGGGCCGCCCCGGGGAAGTTACGTAAAATCTGATTGTCGTCAATTTTCATTTAACTCCCTGTCAGACGCATGAAACGGTTGTCTTCACCATTCTTTTCATCTCTTTCTCTCTCTCATTAATTTTTCTCACATGACACATTTTTTTTATTTTTTTGTGTTTCTTTTTCTGTTCTTACACGTATCGTTTCCTTCCCATCAAGGGGCTGTCTGCTCACTTCATTCCATTTTGAGTTCCTCCCTATCTCTTTCTATCTCTCTATCTCTCTCCATTTCTCATCTTCTCTCTCTCTCTTAATTATCGAGAAGATATTAACAGAATCAATTTTTTTATTTAGCATCTCTCAACCATGCTCAAGTATTTCATACACTCTAATGCTTTCAAAATCTTCTTTTATTATTTCATCGTTTTCCTTCATACCCTGTTTCTCCTTATGTTGATTCGCCTCCAGATAGTTCTAGAAGCTTTTGTTTCTAGCTGTAAGCTTGAGTACTTATCATTATACATCATTTCTTACTCAGTATATTCCGTTGAAGAAGGAATGAAAAAAAAGATAAGTTGAGACTCGAGAGAGGGGGGGGGGGGGGAAAAGAAAAAGTAAGAGGAAAATTAAAGAATTAAACGAAGTGATAGACTAACTAAATATAATGATGAAGTCAATGAGAAAGAAACAGAAGAAGAGACCGAGAGAAAGAAGGAGAGAATTGGGGGACAACTATATTCAGCTTCTGCTTCCAAGGCCCAAGTAGATAAGAATAGAGAGAAGGGGTTGACTGAGTTATTCGTCAATGAAAAGAGAACCATCAAGCTATCCAATTGAATCAGGCAACTCTTAACGCAGACAAATTCGATAACAGCCACAACAAAATAAGAGGATGGCAGGAATCCGAAGAAAGAAGATCAGGGATAGAAGATCTTAAGAGGAAAACGTACATAACTTTTTTATGAATTGGTTTGAAAAAATGAAAAGTCGATCGTTGAAGCATCTTTTCGAGAAAAAAAAAGAACTTTAAGAGTCATCATCTACTACTATTGTTCGGTAACTTAGTTCGAAATTTTAAAACTTAGTTCTTCATGCTGATCGTCGAATTAAGAAAATGGAGATCTGCTCAGGGATAGAGAAACAAGATACTTTTTCTTCAGAGTAATTCATACACGTTGTAGCAAAGGATCACACCTGAACACGGACTTTTATCTGAGAAATAGTTCAAATAATCGCTCTCGGTCTCCTGGCCATATTACATAAATCTTCCAATGAGTATTTACTCATTTGTTTACAGTCCCTCAACGCTCACACGTGAAAGCCAAAATCTGCGGATTACATTCTACTTTTACCATTGAGTTTTAGCTTGAACCTTAGAAGTAACAACAGATCACATTTCTAAGAAAATTTTTTCTGCTCTTTGCTAACTTTCGATAGAATGATGAAGTTTGAAAAAATTTAAATCATTGATCAAATATTCAAAAGAAGTAAGAAAAAAAGTTTGACAAACCTTCGTCACCTTCGAATTCATGAATACTGTCGTCGTCCATCATGTAAACATGACTAGGTCGACGAGTCTCCGCTGCAACTAAATGACCACTTTCTAATGAATGGATTGTTGCTGAGGTACAACTCGTGCACATTTCTCCGGTACTCTTGGGTCTTTTCAGCCTTCGAGGTGTTTGGATTCCACTCGCCACTGTCAAGTCACTTCCGGCGCTTCCACTCGCATCAGAATCCATGCGACGTCGACGCTGACCAGCACCCATGCTTGAACAGCCTTGGCCCGATCCATTTGATTTATGATGGACCGGCTTGACAGTAAAAACACGAGTACGACTTTGAACTTCTCGTTCAAGACTGCTCTCGGAAGCTGTTTCCGTAGCGAACGATGCTTCAGAAGCGAACTTTCTAAGCTTACGATCAATAATTGATTTGGCACTACTTGAGACTGAAGGTAATGCCCTAAATGTTAATGGCGCATCAGAAGAGCTTAGAAAAGGATCAGTCTTGTCGGAATCTGGTGAAGCCATTAGTACATGTTCTGAAGATATTATGCTCGACTAATACAATAGAACAGTTGACAGTAGGTAAAAAGAAAAATAATGTAAAGCACTCTGTGCAAAACGATAGATCATAGAAGATGAAGAGAAATATGCATGAAGAGCAGAGAGAAAAAGTGTACATGAGAGCAGTCTTTCCTGGAAAGAAAGAACCTGTCAAAGTAAGGAGCGAAAAAAGCTTCAAAAAAAAACGTTTCTTCTTGTGTGTTTTACATGAAAAGTGACATGTGGGGAAAACAAGCGGAAACACAGGGAAATAATTAAAAGAACAAATGCTTGAATGGGAAAAAAAAAGAATTTTTTTTGAAAGGCGACCCATCTTTTTCCTCTTCTTTTCGAAACAAGAGTTGTCGTTTTTACTTTTTCTTGCGATTCGGACGATGCCAACGATTTAGCATAAAAGATGTACGTGGGAAGAAAAGATTCTTTCGTCGTCGCCCATCAGCCATCCTGTTTGCAAAATGGATAAAGCTTGGCCTTAGAGACGCTGAAGTCTTGCAAATCTCGGCGCAGGAACTGAGGCTGTTTCACCAGGAAATTTCGAAAAAAATGAAATGAAAATGTTTGAATTTATGATAAAAAATTTTGCCAAAATTGAAAAAAAATGATTTCTGATAAAAGATTGGAAAGGAGGACAAATTAAAGAAACATTTTGATGAAGGAGAAGAAGGATGGATGAAGAAAGAGAAACGGACTTCAGCAAAAGAAGGCAAGAAAGAGAGAAAAAAAAGAGAAAGAAAGAAAATACATAACGAAGAAACTAAATATTCACAAAGAAAATCTTATATCGTCTCCTAATTAGACATGAACAACAAAATATGAAACAGGAGAAAAGTTTGAAAAGTAATGAGGGAGAAGCTGACGATTTGAGAGAAGGAGAAGAGAAATGTATATTAACGGGCATGGGTTGAGGGCTTTTAAGCTTACTTCTGCATTTTGAACAATATCAGATAGTTTTATGCTATATGAAAAGACGACAGATTTTCCAGAGAAACGTTTCAATGAAGAAAACTGGGATAAGGATTTGGAACATGAGAAAGTTCGATCATTTCAAAATTTGGTTAAGAGGAAATGCCAAATTGGGAATAAAATGATGTGAAATGAAACAAAACGAAGAGAAAAAATGAACAGATTTAGTAAAAATATTCTTGGGGTATTTGTAAAATGATATCTCGTTCAGAGAGAAAAAAAGAGAGAGTACGGGTAAAAGACTAACCGAATGAAGAGTGAGAGACTGTTGTTATGAAGAGAATGAATTGAAGGACAGACATTACAAGAGAAAGAGAAAAAAGAGGAATGTGAGATAACTTTGACATGGAAGAAAACAAAATATTCCTTATAAGCTATGTATCTTTCATCTGTTTCTATCTCCACCCACTTTGCTTCATTCAATGATTCCTTTCTCCTTTTCTTACTACAAATTTTGGAAGAAATCGAATAATATGAATTTAGGCACATGTCCCCAAACGAATTTCATTTTAAGTCCGAAACATTTGTAAAAAGTGAAAAGTGCATGAAACGTAAAGAGATACGTGACATGAATGAAGACCATATTTCACTTTTTGGATTCAAGATGAACGGTTGTTTGACGTTATTTAGGAACTAGCAGTAGGGGTGGGACTGAAAATGGGGGGGGGGTGGCTGATGGGGGTGGAGGAAAAGCTCAAAAGAGTAGGAAAGACTAAGAGAGTAAAATTGGTAGCCTAACAGAAACATAATAAAAATAGTATAGGATATTGGGAGATAGAAGGATATGAAGAGAGCGAGTTTTCCATTAAGTAAAAGACTTCTTTAAATGTTAAAATAGTGAAAAAGAAGTTTGAAATGAAGTTTCACATAAGAAATAGAAAAATAGTTTTTGAAATGCTTTTCAGCTTCTAGTATTATGTCATCAAAGAGCTTATGAAAAAGGCGATGCAAAAAATAATGAAGAAAAAAGAAAACAAAAATGGAATAAAACAATTTTTCGAAATTTTTGGTCGAAGCACTAACTATTGCTCAGAGCCGAACAGTAGCCTCTCTAAACACCCAAATAGCATAGTAGAGGCAAATTGGAAAGAAATTAATCGTTTCCAGGGAATGTTTAAGTGACAAGTTGAAGAAATTAATTGGCATAGAATAAGGAAAGTTGAATCATCCATACATTTAATCAAGAAAAAAAGACAAAAATAAGAAGTTTTTTAGCTTGGTTCTTAATAAGATGAGCGTCGTGGGTGGAAAAGATGAGAAAATGGAGAGAAAAAGGCAGGAATGAAGAGTAAGTGGAAAAATAAAAAAGAAAAAGTGAAAGTGAGAGAGAGAGAGAGAAAGAGAGAGAGAGAGAGAGAGAGAGAGAGAGAGAGAGAGAGAGAGAGAGAGAGAGATAGATGAAAATTGAATCAAAAATAAGCGATCCGCTACTACAGTAAGACAAACTGATATATCTGTATAAGTTGAGCAAGAGACAAGCATTTTTGTCATTTGTAACAATGAAATGATATATAATAAAATCATTTACTCCAACTTTGAAACAATATAATACTACGAAAGCTGTAAAAGGACTGTTTATAAGAGGTTTTCAAACGAATATTGTATTAACGTAGCTTTCACAAGTTCGTTATGTTGACTACAAAGACTCTCTCGTCCTTTGTTAATAAAAAACTTTTTTTTAATGTAAAAATTTTTTTTTACCTCTTTATTACTCAAATTTTACTGATTTGTCATTTCATCTTGATTATCATCGTTATTTGCTCAAAATATTCAAGCATATTTCTTATAATTTATTGAGTTCAATTCAGCAAACTCCATAGCATAATTAAAAGGAGGGGGCGGAGCTTGGGGCGGGGCGCGGGCGGAGACACCAACCATATATATAAGGTCTCGATCATCACACGAATGTCTCAGAACTCGGAACTTCAGATAAATTCCACACCTCTCTTATGTATTCTTTACTTTAGAGATAATTAAATCTTTTTTTTTTCACTTTTTTTTTATTTTGTAAGTAAACTTGACGCTTTGTTTTGTCAACTTTTTTTTCTTGAAACGCTCTTTCCGGTCTTTCTTTGCATTACTGTCTTGTCTAGACTCTTCATTGCATCTTTGCTAAGTTGATATTTTTTCAGACGAATCATGATATTCGAATTGCCTATTGAACACTTTCCTGTTACTTCTCGATGTGTCAGTCCTTCGACTGCATCATCCTCTTCAAGCTTATGCGAACGAAGGTTGCCTGTGCGAATGCCTTTATCCGTAGCTCACTGCAAGGATGTCTCTAGAGCCATGCCACAGAAACCCTCAGGTAATTTTTTTTCTTTTTTTTGTCATCTACTTGCTCTTCATTTCGCAAGTATTTCACTATGACGCATTGGATAGATATTTCATAATATTCTTTTTCAGTATGTCACACTAACTTCAAATACCCGATTGCGCGATTCGCCACCATGCCTACGTTGAAGCGAGCGATGACTTCACCTGTCCTCCTTCCATCTACATCATCAGCGGCTCCACACTCTGACTCTCAGATTTTCTCGAGCGCCAGCAGCCAGACTTTGATTGATACCCGACCCAACTCATCTTTGAGTTTAGCTTCAAAAGCTATTGCTGATTCCTGCCTTCCTCTACCAACCACCAGCGCATTGGATAAGCATGGCTCAACCCCCTGCCTGAACAGTGGACAAAGTTTTATGCAACGGATGCTGACCCGTGGTCTAAGCACAAGTCTTTTGGCTCAGTGAAGCTTTTCAACGAGCCAGTTATGACAAAGCTATGACGTCGATCATGCCGGAATTATGGTATCGAAAAAATTCTGAAAATTTTTTTCTACCAATCAAGGATGATCGTTATGTCCTTTCTCCATATCCTCGGGTCTAGTTTCCTGTGAAGAAGACGTTATGAAACACAAATCAAGAGTTCCTAGTTGGATCGTACTATGCCACTTTCGCACTTGCAATGTTCATTGTGAACCTCCTTAACTATCCGTATCATTGGTCTCATTATCCTACAACCAAGCTTTATCTGTATGTATGCATAATTTTTTGTTGTCCAGACAGTGTTATGATGATCCCCTCCAACAGCAATCCTCTCATGCCATATATGTTGTATATTTATAATTTATTGAAAAAGAGAAAAATCATACAAGAAATGAAAATTTATGTTCCTACTACGTTGTATCTATTTTTGAAGACACAATTTCCACTAAGTACCAACAAACACAATGATAGCAAACAATGCACAAACGCGCGTGTGTCTGCAACATCATGTGATGACAACATCAACAAGGTTTATTCTAGAAGTTTCCACAGAGAACTTATTCATTTTTGCTCTTTGTAAACATCATCATAACAGTATTCTCTCTGACCTTCAATCACGTAACATATCACATTTGGTCTTTGATTTGGCTTACTCTACACATGGCTGTTTTCACCCATCAAGCTTGAGGAAGCAAAAAATGCTCTCAAAACTTATGTGTTCACTACAAACAATTAATTAATCATATCATATAAAAAAGAGAAACAGTCAAATAATAATTTATGAAATCAGTAAGTATGAAAGTGAAACAGAGAGTGAGAGGGGGAGGGATAGAAGAAACAGCACGTGAGAGAGAGAAGAGAATGAAAACCCAACCGCTCTGCGCATCACCTTCATCTGATATGAGCTTTGACTACAATTTTTACTTTGAAGTATGCCATATGCGATACTCGAACGAAAATTTAATTGAATCGTGAATATCCACTTCCTTATCTTTCATCTTTCCTCCATGTGTGGAAGTGTATTAAGCAGGTAAAAGGGGGGATGCACATTGTATTGTAAGCCGGAACAGATGAAAAGTTTTATTTTGAAAAGCCCAAACGTTGGTCGATGTAAAACAGAGAAAGAAAAAAGTCATTTTCATTCAGATATCCCGTATATGTGAGCTGGATGGCAATACAACACATGTGTAGCAGATTTCTTGTAAGCTGCTTAATGAAATGCTGGAAAAAGCTTAAAAAAAGATGTTATTCCATATTTATAAAGATAAGCCTATGCGCTTCTTCATGTTTAAGAATCAAATCTATTTTAACATTCAAACTGTTTTCATATTCTTCTACCGCGTCTGCATCTTCGTTACCCTCTTCGCCTTCCTCTTCGTCTACTTCGACCTTTTACTTTTTGGTATTACTTTGCTGCTGAAGATGGCTGACAACGGCCATCTCTCTGCAAAGGTTAAAAAACGAGCTGAAAAATTTTGATTAAAAATTATATTCCGAAGAAAAGAATGACGTAGAAAACATTTTAATAGAATTGCGGCAGTTTTAGAAATCTTAGAGTAACTATTGTCTATTTGTTTCATTTAAATCTGCAAAAACCTCTCTCTGTTCGTCATACAATGTATGTGCGTGCGAGTGTGTGTGTGTCTGTCTGTGTTGGAAGGCAGGTTTCTTAATATTTATCTGATTCATTTGAATAGCTTTTTGTGGTAAAGAGAGAAGGAAATAAAGAATACAGAGACTTTGAAGAACGAACATTCAATTCTCACATGTAATTATCAACTTTGAGTTCTATTTTCGGTTTTGAGCAGATTCTAAAGAGTAATAGAGATCAAGATACACTTTCCCTATGTGCACGGGAACAAATGATGTGAGTTTCGGAAATTAAAAAAAATGATTTTCGCTTTTATTGTAAGGCTGTTTACTCCTCTGCTTCTCCCAAATCGGCAACAGTCTCACTGGTTAGGAACGAAAGATATATTTCATGAAATTCTCATTAGTAGTCGTTTCGTGGTCGGCGTCGCACGTATTTGTCAGCAACTTCCTCATCGTCGTGGAGCCTGAAGAATCGGAATCAAAAAAAAAAAAATTTTTTTTTTCTCCGTTTAAGCAAAACACGAATTTCAAAACATAATATTCACACCTTAGGAGAGAAGATGTATTTCTTCCTCATTCTATATTTAACGTTTTTAAATTTAAAATCCGCACAAATCATAGCCGATTGTGAGGAATGAAAGCAGAGAAATCAAAATTTGATTGAAATATTTCTTTTGAGCTGTATAAAACATATTTTCAAAGCAAATCTAGATTCAAAGAAGATCAAAAATAAGAAAATCAGCTTAATGCAGTTTAAACTGATCAGAGAGAAGATATATACTTCATTATGATAAACTTTCAAATCCATACCTTACTATAGCTTCTTCACCTTTACAAAAAAATTATTTCAACGTCGTTGATGTCGTTGTCGAAAAGCTGTTTACGTCAGGGATGCTCATAATCCTTTTTTTTCTTACAAAATAATCCATTCTGCTATATATGGAGGGATTAATTTACATAGAGTGTTAAAAAAGTTTAAGGAAAGATAAGAAGAGTTCAAAGCAGAGATGTGATGTCTTAGTAGACACCAGAAAGCAGGAAAATCAAATGAATCAAATGGAGAATCAGAATTCACCGATACCGACGTCATTTTTCTTGTTTTTTCAAGTCAAATTTCCCTAAGATGATCGTGATGACGACAACAGTTGTGACATACCGTTCATCATCCACAGCAATTTTCTTTTTCTCTTATCAAGATGGAACAAATGAACAAGACCAACGTAATTCATGATGTCCGGTAAGTTCTGACACATCGTTCAACTTACTACATGTCACATTCCATTTTCAACAAAGCACATTTGGACAATGGCAGACTTCGAGTCGACAACTCATCATCACCTGACCTTATTTGGAAGATACTCACATCATCGTTCATGTTTTCACTTTTTTGTGTTATTTTAAGAACATTGCTGAGAGAGAAGATAAAAAAAAACCAGAATATCTTCAAAATCAGGGACACATTGATATTCATTCTCCGAAAATTAAGCCTTTCCACAGCTTTTTCATAATGCTGGAATGAGAACTTTCACATGTTAAGAAATGAGATTGTGAAGCATCCATCTGTCTCTTCTCGAGCCATATCAGAACCAAAAGATCGAGATATCACCAAAATATGTTATTTTCTCAAGCCACTAGCATTTGTTGGTGAAAAATAAAATAATTTTTATTTTCTCAAATTTTAAGTATTATCACCCTCACCCATGTTTTTGTCATTAACAAGGTTTTAATCTGCTTTCACAAAGAGTTTGAGATGCTTGTTCCAGGATTAAACCGTTGGATTTGCCATTGAATCGTTTAAGCAGTAACTCGATGTGGACTCATCTTGCCTGATAAACCCTTGATACAACTCAGTTGAAAATGATAGAGTGTCAATAAGATAGAGAGATAGAGAGATAAATTCTTTTTTCTGTTTCCATTCCATTTCCAGAATCTGAGATAATAATACCGAATCAAAGTAATTCTAATCCTTTGCAATTAAGGAGAAAAGAATAAAGATTGAAGGTGAATTGAAACACTTTCGAACGGATATCCCAAGAGGCAATAAACTCTGATAGTTTCATAATTTTCCATGCAAAACTATAATAATCGTTTTGTTTCAGTGAATGTTGAAAACTATAATTTTAGTTCAACGAGACGTTGTTGTACAACAAAGTTGAAGCAAAATGAATTAATTATATCCAATTGGATAAGAATGATATAGCATTTCTACGAACACAGCTAGTGCCTTGTTTGTCTATCCAGCTTACTGAAAGCTTATTGAACGGTTGAATTAGTTCATGCTGATCAGGTGGTTGGATACAACAAACGGACGACAACTTATGATGAACTTGTTATGTTCCGGTATCCAATACTATACAGTTGATATGCAAAAGTACAAATCTCTCCAAATCATTCGCTATAAAATATTCTCCAGAGTCCGCAAATGATACAATTTATGGTAAATGAGGTCAGAGATTGAACTCAAAGCTAATTCATTGAGATGACGAAAAGTAGGGAGAAAAAAATTTTTCAAAAAACGCAAATGATGATGATGGTCAGTACATTACGATGATCATAGATAAAAAGAAAAACATGTCAATCAGTCATTGATCATATTTGGTTTTTGACTATCCAGAAGTTCTCTTCGTTGTCGTGTCATTCAGTTACCACTCCGCTTTGTTTTTGCTTTCATCTATATATGGATATAGTTAGCATTCCATGATGGAAAGTCTATTTCTCATTTCTGGCACTGTCGATGACGATATGATGGAAATAAACAATAATTGGTTTTTGAAGATGCGAAAGTTAGAAAGAGTTGAAACAAAGAAAATCTATAAAACCAGTCTAGGTGTGGTTTCGTTATTACCAGTAGGTGTTGGAATAGATTTAATTCTTCCAAAAACATAACCAAAACATTCAATTTAATTAATTATTCTTAATATATCAAAGAAGTAGGGGGGGGGGTAGGAGAGGGGGTTTGAGGGGAACGAAAAATAGAAATCAGAGCATGTGTCTGTGTATGGTTGTCCATTAGCTTATCTTTTCTTTATTTCATTGATTATGTGCTAATTGAGTATCAGCTGTCATCATCCTGGATTATAGTAATCATGGTGACGTGAAAAACGATCCTCAATCATTTCCATTAGCTTATATGTTCGCTTAACGGTTGCGATGATGATGGTATTTTCTAGGGTAAACCATTCGAATCATTTACAGATCAACAAAACATTCAGACGTCAAGACATTATGAAATAAAGGCAAATGTGGGTGAAACACAATAAAAAGATTAAAGGGAGGGTAGCAATTGCAAAATCTATGAAAAGAAAGTTAATTGTTTACATTGTCAAATGATGATGAAAGGAGAGATGAAGAGAAGAAAAAAAGAAAGAAAAAAAGATTTTCTCAACGTCAAATAACAAATCTCCGTAACACTTCCACCCCTAGCTAATTCATAATAATTTGTAAGAAAACTGATAGATGAAATCATACTTTCCATTCTCCCTCTATTCCTCTACATCTCTCTCTCTCTCTCTCTCCTTCGCGCAATCTTTCTCTCAGGTTTTTTTCATATCTTCATAACGAATTTTAATCTTGTTTTTAAGCATATTTGTTTATAATTAATACCAAACAAGAAAAAAAATTTTTCCTTTTTTCCCTCCGAAATTATTTGTTGTTAAGAGAGGATAAAGATCATTCGAAATTCAGACTTTTCTGATATTCTGAAATTGCCTTACTTTCACAGGATATCCTTTATCTCCAGGAATATTCATTCATATATATAGATGGATGAACAATCATGAGAATATGTTAATATTTTCATTTGAAATTATAAAAAGAATTATTGGGGCAAGTACAAAAAAACAATTAAAGATTTATAATCAGTACACTTCAGGTAATGTCACTGTCTCATACCACAGTGTAGTCTTATCACATAAAGTCGATCAGAGACATTCCATTGAAAACATAGTAATATCGACCCAACCTTCTTTGGCCTGTACCTTAGACCCAGGCGTGTGTGTTTTGTTTTGTTTTGTTTTGTTTTTAATTTTTTTACAAAAAAATCAACAGTCTAGTCTAGAAAGTGATGACCACCCATCGATGCCACCGTCTTGAAGGAAAGGTTGCTGTTGTTACAGCTGCTACTAAAGGGTTCGCACACTTTTTTGTTCTTCAGCTTACTGTTTAATATTTGATTGATTCAAAGAATGAAAAAGTTGTATGCAACTTCAAGTTTTCAGAATTGGCTTGGCTATAGCCATCAGACTTGCAGAAGAAGGAGCTTCTGTCGTGATTAGTAGTCGCACGCAAGACAATGTCGACAGGTAACATTTTGAACATGAATTTAATATTATTCGTATTATGAACTAACAGTGTAGTCAAAGAGTTGAAAAACAGGGGATTGAAAGTTGAAGGAACCATTTGTCATGTTGCTAATCCTCATCATCAGAAAAAGCTTATAGATTTCGTATGATTGCATTTCAGCTTTTCCCAATCGAAATTTTTTATTACAGACACTTGAGAGGTTTGGGAAAATTGATATACTGATAAATAATCAGGGAATAAATCCTGCTTTCGGCTCGATTCTTGGTTAAGAAGTTGGTTTGGAAAGTTTTTATACCCATGTTTTATAGATGTGCAGGACTCAACATGGGATAAGCTGTTTGAAACGAATGTGAAAAGTGGATGGCAGCTAACAAAGCTTGTACAGCCTATCATGGAAAAGAATGGGTAATCTCAGTCCGAATTAGTAATTGAAGAAAGATGAAAACTTTTCAGTGGGGGAAGTATTGTCTTCAATTCGTCGTTTGGAGGGTACAAGCCCCCAACGGTAACGCACTCTAATTGACTATTGTTCTAAACTTCTTTCTAGGGAATCGGAGCTTATGGAGTAACGAAAACTGCTTTGATTGGTTTGACGAAGGTATTGGCTCAAGAACTTGCGTCTCACAATATTCGAGTGAACGGAATCGCCCCGGGTATCATAAAGACAAAAATGAGCAAAACAGTATAGTCTTTTTTGTCTTCCCTCATTAATACTATATTTTGCAGCTATGGGATGGTGGAGAAGAAGAAGTGATTGAAAGCCAGGGGGTCGGCTGGAAGTTCATGTTCAATCGTTTATAGTAAGACCTTTTCAGATACCATTAGGGCGTCTGGGAAATACGGAGGATTGCGCTGGTGCCGTGGCGTATTTGGTATCCGATGATGCTTCCTATGTTACAGGAGAAATGATTGTCATTTCCGGAGGAATTCATTCTAGATTGTAGAGTCAGTAAATCTTCATTATTATAAGAGAAAAAAGTGAATAAATATATGATCAAAGTAATCTAATGGTAATATCAACAGGATGAAAAACATCAAACAACGGGGGGGGGGGGCTTCACATGTCTTCAGAATATTTCAAAAAAAAAAAAACAAAAACAAAAAGTATGAGTGAAACATAATCAACCTACGGGAGTTTTGATAATCTTCGAATGTGCTCGTTTCTTAGAGCTATTGGATCCGGGGCTTAATCTGCGTTCCTCATCCAGGGCTTCAGCCTTTTTGTTACCCAACTTCGCAATTATTCTCCACATATTCTCTTCAGTCTCGCGGAAAAGAGAAGATGTCTCGTTGTCACAAGGTAAGTCCTGGTCTGTGAACATCTCCATCATAACACTAGCCTAGGCATTACGAATGATACAACCACACACTAGTAAAAAAAAGTACCTCTTTGATATGATGGAAATTTCGCATTATCTGGTATTTAATAGCGTAGTTCCCTGTTAAACTGTCAATAGAATTCATCTGTACCATCTCATAGTTGGCTATATTAGCCATAGTCTGACATCTCGATTGCATGTCTGTTTCATCAGCACTAGTGGAGGGTGATATATCAGATAGAGGTAGTACAGGTTTATACAGCGTCGAATCAGAATCTTTGATCATCACTGGTTGGGACTTTTGAGACTTATCGGTACGTTTAGGTGACACTTTGAGCTTCTTGGAAGGAATGTAACGAGGAGCAGCTGGAACATAATTGGGTAGCTTTCTGAACGGGTAACGTGATTGGTTTGCAGATCCACGAACTATTTGATAGGTTGGCAAAGAATCCGCTTGTGATGTAGGAATGTCCTTTTCTTCAGTCTTTTGATCTCTGTTCCGTTCAACGTTTACAGATTTTTCTTTAGCTGATCTTTCTCTCGCTGCCTTTTCCCTGGCTGCACGATCTGCAGATGTCTTCTCTTTGATGACTCCCTCCTGGTCACTACAAGAACTCCCGGTAGAACGAATATTGAATATCATATTTGCATGAATAGCATCGCGAACAGTCATACTATTCAACGCACTGTCCAAAGTGGCTCGTTTTTCTTGATAAGCTCTATTTGATTGAGCTCTCATCGGAGAATTCATTGTTTTTCGGTTAACAGACTCAGCTTCGTGTTGACCAGAGGTGGAACTATTGACACTTATCGTAGAGATTTCGGGATTAGGAGCTTTCCTTAAATTATCTCTTGTTGAAGGCGGGATTTTTGGGCATTGAACAGTGTTAGGAAGCCGCTCTAGAAAAACAAAATAAAAGAAAAAATAATGGATAACATACTAATGAGAGGCTGTTGAACATAATCAATGTTGCGGCGTTTCAATGCATTCACAGAGCTTTGCAATGGAGAATTATGTGATAAACATCCCAAAGAGGGTAGTGAGAGGTTTTGGTGATCTGTAAAAACAACAACATTGAATTAAGAGAGTGATGGATTTACTTGGAAGATCCATGAAATATGAATTAGAAACTCCAGGCTTGGGAGTTAAGTTCAAACTTGTAAAACCTTGTTCATTCGTTAAATCGGCGGGGTAAGTGAAACTTCTTGTAGGCAAAGCTGGCATATCCCACAGATTTTCAACACGGACTTCGGGTTTCTTCTTCTCTACATCGTAAGAGGTATTCAAAGTCGGAGAGTTTGACAGAGTAGGAGAACTTTCTTCGGATACGAGAGCAATATTAGAATCAGGTTTTGCCCCTTGTTTTCGAACACTCCGCTCTGGTGTTGCAGAGCAACTGTAATCGGGCAACTGCTTTTTATTTTTAATAACAAAGCAGAAGTTGCCTTTAGGAACTTCTGGAGCAAACATTGAAATGAGTATTCTCATAATCTGAACCCACCAATTACTGGAATCTGATTGAATTTATGGAAAATATGAATCAAGCTGAATGTACAGGTATAATGTCCGTTATCTTCCGATTTGAGCTGGACAAAGATATCGAATAGGACAGTAGAATACAACTTCAAACCTTCACGAAAGCTGGACAAAATCGCTTTCCTCTCTTCTCTAGAGCGTCAGAACATCTAGAATACAGAAAAGTTGCTCAGATGAATGATGATATTTGCCTGAATAACTGGACACCGGGAATAGGAGATTTAGTTTCAACGAATGTATATTCGTACTTTTCACAAATGTTTGAAAACCATTCCTATAATAGAAAAGAGTTGTTACAGTAAGGGTTACAAGACATACCGTGAAATCGGGACGTCTTGTGAAGTAGACCTCTCGAAGCCCATAATCATGATTCGTATGGGAGCACAAACTATGATGCTCCTCTGCTAGATGCAATGCCAGCCTTTCGTTCGTGAAGAATGTTAAAGAACAGTGTCCAACTGGGCAAGCCAGGTTTTTCTAAAATCCATCTGTAATCAAAAAAACTTTAATGCAATTATACCTTCAAGCCTGGTATTTGAGGGTTAACTGTGCAGTCCAGAGAATGTAGCTTTCGAGATACTATCGAATCAAACTTTTTCCCGCATTTTTCACAGTTGTATCCGTGCCCCATGGAATTTGGGGATTTGCTGTTCGTTATAGTGCTCGTCATTTTCTTTTAGAGAGTTTTACTTTCAAATTATCTCTTTCAAGAAAAACCTCAAACACTGAAAAGAGTAGTTGACTATGTTAGCAAAGGAAAAACGAACCGGTAGATCAAAGCTCTATAAGTTGAAGTTTCATTGAAGCTATTGAAGTCTGTAAGAAAAAAAATTTTTGCTTAACACTCAGAAGGGATATCCATGAAAACGCTTAATATAGTAAGAATGATTACTTCGTTAGCCTCATAAATATTCAGAACTGTTTCTGAAGCTCATGACAAAATAATTTTTAACGAACGGGTAGCCGGTGATTTATGAATGATAGATGAAAGGCAGATGAGTCCATTTCCAATCCGTAAAACAGTTATGGATGTGGTTACAGTTAAGAATATATATAAAGAAGTCGAAGAAAATTAAAATTCAACTGTACTTTCACTTTCCTTATAGTTTTTTAAACTTTGAATGATAGCTAATGAATTCAACTTTTCCTACGTATTGCGTACTGCGTATCTTATGATGTAGCCTGCGGTTATGGCTTAAGCTCTGTCGTATAACCTGGCTGTTATGGTGCAGAGTCGTAGACACAGTGTGATGAAAGAGTTAAATTGGTAGGGTATTCTTTCAAAATTCTGTGAGACGGTTTGGAAATGCTTAACACTTTGATTTACTGAACCATTTTTGATCCCTTCATTCGATAATTCAAGCTCCAAATATTTATCGGAACCTGTAATTTTACGCTTCATACCTCTAGCAGTGGAACTTGGATGGAAAGCACAAGACCTATTCGTTCGCCGAAGAATGATAGAGAATGTTGCTTCAAATCATTGTTGCGGTTATAATAACTATTGTTCGAAAAAGTGTTTACGATCAGATATTTGTCATAGTCCTATGGTGTTTGAGTGATCATTGTTTACTGGCGGTTATTCAAATCATGATAATCATTGACATGCCCCCGTGAACAGTCGAAGAGTAATGATTCTTTTATGTTTGAATAAAGTACGTGTCTGTCGTGCTAAACTCGAATCTGGACCACAGATAAAATTTGCTATTTTTGTATGTGTTTACGGTGTACTGTAATTTCTAGAATAGCTATGATTTTGTAGAATTGTTTTTAAATTTCGAGCATTTCATGTTGTACTTCTCACTGACCAGTTTCAGATAGCTTCCAGATAGCTCGCTCGAATGATTCAACTGACTTGGTCATAATGCTGGTACTTTCTAGATCACACTTAACACCACTCGTGTGCTGTGGTCAACCAATATTTCATTCGTGTGCTTAGACGAAATCAGGAGTAGTATACAAACGGTTGACGCTGGACGGTCATCTTGCCTAAACTTGATTTTTGCACCATTTTGCGCTTTTTAGACTTTTTTAAACGAAAAAGTGCCTAAGCTCATAGAAAATCAGTCATTTTTGAAAACGTCACTTTTTGGGCTGGACGTAGAAGTGACCATTTTGCCCACTTTCGCTTTCGCCACCGGAGCCGAAAGGAAATGAAATCGGTATTTTCAATCTGTATTCTTCTAATGATAAAGAAACTCATCCAAACATTGTTGGTGATTTCGGGTCGCTGAAGGCTTTGGAAAAGAGTATATCGACAGAAAAACTTCAGACCTCGGTTATTCTAATCTTTAATAATTCTGCTAATTCAATTCGATCATAATTCGTCAGAGGTTCAAGATTTAGGGAAAAGCTCATTTAATATCAATAAAAACGATGAATACAAGTGAAGAATTGAAAGTGGGCAAAATGGTCACTTCTACGTCTAGATACTTTTTCGTTAAAAAATGAATCTGAAAAGCACAGAATGGTGCAAAAATCAAGTTTGGGCGAAATGACCGTCCAGCGTCAATAGTACTATCAGGGAATTTGAATGTGTATCTCCAGCTGATTCCTTATTCTGTCTTGAGCAAGAAAGCTTCCAAGTGTTAGGCGCTCTCGAATCACGTGCATGATATCGTACCAGAGAGTCAACAAACTTGTTGCCAACTGAATAGAATTTCTTGATGTGTTTTCGAAGAAAATAATATGAAAGGTGAGAGGTTATCGGAAACGGGACTCGGTTGCAGCTTCGTTTTGCAGTTGTGTTTTGCAGGTTAAACTCAATTAAAAATTCATAAGTGTTGATAGAAAATCTGGGCACATTAAAATGCGATTGATGATTACTAACGCCTTTTTTAGAAGGTGCAAGAATTCTTTAGGGGTTGATAATTTATTATCCGTGAGTCAGTACATGGAATTCTATTTCGAACATTTGTGAGCATCACAGGCCTATGAGCAATGCGAATACAATATGTTTGTCAGATGTTTTAAACAGTGTTAAATAGATACAAAACATTACAAGATAGCTTTAAAAGAAGAGAAATATGTTGGATGATTATCAAAAATGAGAATCATCATTCGATTTCTAATTTTCTTCGCTCTCCTACGTTCAACAGTGGGTCAAGATCGAGTTGTTTACAACTCAGCTTACAATCCCATGGATAATATCACCTATGGTCCTTTAGAAAGACCACGTAGGTTCAGTTTTGAAAAAAGTAAACACCTAAAACTATCTCAGGCTGTTACTTGGGCTACATCTGTCCTCTGCTGTTCGCATGTCGCGGAGGATATTGCCTTTACAGTCATGAAGCAGCAGAAAGAAAAAGACAACGGGATAAGAACAAGCCTGGATTCTTCAAAAACTTATTTAATGCTTTCTGGCCATTTTGATCGTGATAAAGTTCAATTTCAATAAAGTTTATTTGTTTACATGGAAAGACCCGTGCAGTCAATGTTAACACAAAAAATCGGATATGTACAGAAAGAGTTATATGAATGCGGTTCAAAGGAAGGCTGCCATGATGATGGATGCCATTGAGAGATAGCGTACCGAAGATTGAACGAGTGCGGCAGCTTCCATGTTCATTTCACTCACTGAAAAAACAGAATCCAGTTTGAAAACCTGGACTTCAGTTATTAGAAACCTTTGTGTCCTTTGCTTTCTGCCACTACTTGTTGGTCTGTTGGAGGAGATACTGGTTTAGGAAGACGATAAGTCTTAATATCTGAGCACTTGGAAGGCCATCTAAAACCCGATTAATTACTAAGAAATAACAGATAAGCCTCATACTTCTTGACAGCATTAGTGTCTAGGGCCATTTTCTCCATACTTCCAAATGATCTTCTTGTTAAATCGACAACTAGTTCAGCGGTATCAAAATCACATTTGTGGGCAATGGTAGGGATGTCGCAATGTAGAGTGCATGTGACATACCTTCAATTGAACATCATGAAAAAAACCAAACATCTATGATATCTCACTCGCAGCTATCACTAAGATAAACTTCAGCTTGGGAGGTATCTCCGCTCAACGCTAAATGTCTGAAGTTGTTAATAAGAGATGTTACAGCGTCATGCTTAGGCGCACACAGTTTAATACAGTCTGTGTTGCTGCTAATGGTCTCCAAGCAAGGGAACTTCTGTCTTATAGCTGAAATATGCATTAAAATGTAAGAATTCTATTCATCTTCCAACCATCATAGTTATAGACGCAATAATGATCAATTATTTCAGATGAGCGCATCAGGAGTTGATGAAGATATCCAGGGTCACATTTTGAAGAACAGTGTTGGAAAGTGTGATAGATTCTAAATTCAATTTTATTTCAATTTCCTTGATCGTATTAATCTTGAGTAATCCTATTATTTTCGAAGTTACAATGACATACAGATCACTTCTACGTCATCCACGTAATTACGTGTTCAAGTTTAACCACTTTACACTATCGGCAGAGTATAGCGGTTGTTCTTACATGAGATATACGATAAAACGAACCCGCAGAACTTTTCGAAGAAGGTGGTGTTCGAGAATGAAGTTAGGAAGTCGTTGTAGTTCAACTGTAGCGAATTAAAAGGTTATTCACATGATTATAACATACTTGAAGGAGAGAAGTTGTGCGTTTAGCTCCCAATTGATTTCTAATAGCATCGACAAATCCGAAAGCACACTGTCCGACACAAGAATCCGGGTTGCTGGATGTATGAGGACTGTAAAACGGAGAGTCTACACGAATCAAAGTTGTAAACTACCTAACAGTTGGAATTGATGGATCAAGTGTAGGCATCTGATCAAACGCATTTGCCAAACATGATAAAACTAGACATACAGCAATATTCCACAACATGGTCTAGAATAGAGACTTACAGAAGGTCGTTTGCCTATTAACCTCAAAAGCGAAATGAAAGCTTAAACGGAAACAAAAGGGGACGGCTCTCTGAATTCTAACAGAAACTGGTAGAAGTTATGATGCTAAAACAGCGGAACTGGTGAGTTTCCGAAATGGAGAAAGGAGGGCTTGAGGCAGTCAAACAGCACTTTAAGCACAATTCTACAGAAAGGAAAATGATTTCATCTTCATAGAACTAGTGGCTATCTTGTTCGTAAGGAGATAATACTGCGTTTTAGTCCGAGGGATTCAATGAACAAAACAAAAATATACAGAAACAACCTGAGATGACAGAGGTTTTAAAACGTGCGAAGGTTGTTGACTAAGACAAATCGAGAGAATTCTTGCTTTTATATCTGCCCAAGAAACGCTGTACTTCTACGGCTGGGGCTGGTTCCGAGTCACACAGTTGACGCGAGACAACCACGAGATTGTAATATCGAGACTTGAAAAGTGGAGAAAACAAGATCTTAACGAGAATGGCACGACCTCCAATGTGCATTTGATAAAGCTTACTCTAACCCCAAGGTGAATATGTCTTTTTATCGCATCAAAACAGAAAATCGAATATTTATTGATGAGAAAGAAGGAAAAGGAGACGAAAAACCTCTCAATAGTTTAAGTTGACTAATGAAAACCTGAAAAGGAACAACTCTCAGATATATGTAGTAATTCATATGTCACATAATTTACATTTCACCTAATGTCTTAGAAAGAAATGGTCGTGCTAGAGCGTAAGAACGCCCAACATAGCCGAATATAAATTAAATTTTTAGCAACAGTTTCAACATGCAGCTAACAAGCACCCGTAGTAAACAAAATAGAAGCTACAGTTAGAACCCCGACTTCTAGAACATAAAAAGGACAAGGATTAAATAGAAGCATATTATTCCATTTCTAGAGCTTTAGCTTTCAATACGGCAGGGGCAGAACTTGGAGGTAGAATTCGAATGTCAGTTACTATAGCTGTGACAAGGTCTGAAGGGACAACTTCAACAGATTCTGTTCCTAACAAAGCCATCCTTTGATATTGAACCTAGGTAATGAAAATTATCATCTAACAATTCGAATCTAACACTAACCTTGTCTACAAACTTGAAAGACTGAGCGACGACTAAAACGGGGATATTTCTATCCTTCGCCAGAAGTGCAAGTTGGAGTGAACCGCGAGGAGCAGCCACATTACCGTTGGAAAGAACAGCTGAACAACCCAGGAGCACGATGCTACACTAAACACCAAAACATAAACTGTTAATATGAAGGGAGACGCACAGATTGCATGGCATATCCAGCGGACTTCAAATCCGTATATTGACATTTCATGCCTTTGTTCATCAGTGGCTCGATATGCTTCATTCCTATTATCATATAATTATCAAAATTTCGAACTTTTTCCCAAACCATTTCCGTTCATCTCATGATCAACGATGCAACATATCTGGTTTTCAAGAGATGAGTTCAACAATACGTGATTAACAACAGGATTCCTGAAAACAAGTTTAGATCGAAAAAACAAAATAAGACACAGTACCAATCATAAGTTAAAATCGACTTCGCTGATGTCAACTTCGGTTTCAAATGAGTAGAAATTGCAATATATGCATAGCTGAAGTTGTTTTCTTGGCATTCTTTAAGCCATTGTTGTAAATCACCGATATTCTGCGAGGATTAGTTTAATAGACGCACAAGAACATGCAACTTACCCTGGTACCGGTATGAATATCATCCTTTCCAATTTTGGCTATTTCTTTTTTCAGTTGACGCACAATGTTTCCTAAGGCAAATGGAAGTGGCCAACGACCTGTAAAGATATTTGATATCAATGTCTCAGATGAATAATCTCACCACTTTGAGTCAAATGAGCTAACTGAGGTTTGATATCAGCATCAAGCCCAACACCTAGTTTATTCAGTTTATCTCCACTTTCCCTAGCTCGTTGAGCAACCCATGAGTTCAAAAACTAGATATCAAATTTGCAGAGATAATTATGAGCGAGAACTTACTTCGTCGAATGCTGCTAAGAACTCCTCACATAGTTGATCGAGCTCAGAAATTATGCCTTTCTCACAGCGAATAGCCAAACTCAAAAAGGCGGGGTGGATTTTAGCTATACTTGCTCCATCTTCATATGGAACTGAAGCTGCTAAACCGAAACTTTGAGAAGGAATAAAAAATAAAAAAGCTAACCTGCAGCGTTTTGTAAACTCGCAACTAAATTTTCTTCTGATCCACTCTTCATACTTAGATCTTCAAAATGAATATAGGTAATACAGTTGTAATCTACTCTCATACCGAATTTCACTTCTTTAGGATCAGACTTGACGCTAGTCTTTGATTTTATGGATGGCTTTTGCACACATTCAGGCGTTGGAGAACGATTCTCTTTTTTCTATAAATGTCATAGGGAATTTGTACAGAAGGAGGACTAACACTAATTGGCCAAATGTATAATTATAAATGTCACTAACCTCAACCACATGCGGAACATTCTGTGGAGCTTTCTCCCCTGATTGCTTTTTCTCTATGGCAGCTTGTACTGAAATATTCACTCAACTCAAACGGTTGGAATCAGATAAGCATATGCTTTAATCCGAATGACTTACCTTTTGCTTGTTTCTCAGCAGCTTTGTTAGCTCTTTGTGCTTTCTTTTCTTCTTGAGTCATTTCCTTGCCCTAGGGAACTCATGAATGAGTGTTCAGGAAGAGATGCTACCTGTTCTTTTTTGTCTTCAGGACTTTCTCCTTCATCAGCTAACTTCTTCTTAGCAATTGCTGCTTCGGCTGAACACTCTTATCCATAAGGATCATATGGCTTGAGAAAAGTACCTCGAGCTTTCTTTTCAGCGGCCTTTGCTGCTCTTTGTTGTTTCTTTTCTTCTGCACTCATATCTTTCCTCTTCAAAGACAGATTATAGGTCTAATAGTCAGATAAAAACTTACAAAGTCGTTCCCATCTTCTGCTTTAATCGATGAATTATTAACTTCTGCAGATTGGTTTGTTGTGCTAGCTGTAGATTCAGCGTTTGGATTACAATTCAGTGCGATACCCATTTTCTCGACACCAGCCTTCAGCCGTTCAATGGAGAGCTGCAAGAATACTTATGAACGTTAATAGATTAATTGCAAATATGAGTTGGAACGTAAACGACACAAGAATACTACCGTGAGCAGAAAGGAGTCAGTGCAAGCATGTGTTAAAGAGCTATTCAGAAAAGAAAAAAGTATGCTCACAGCAGCCCACCTTTAATTGACTTACAGGATCCTCCATATTACTTTTTCCATTATGTTTTGAGCTCTCCTGACTCACATCATTTTTTTTCTTGGTCATAATTAGTAATTCTATAGAGGATAGTTATAGATAACAATGTTTTCAAAACTTCAAAGTAAAAAGGGGGGTGACGCAAAATGTGTTCAAAGCAAGATGAACTCTGCGTACTTTGCAGAAAAAGCCACGCCTATAATTCAGCGCCGTTTGTGAGTGGCTTGTTGTTCGTTATGTTTGTTAATTAAGTATACTATATGATTAAGATTTTGAAGTTTCTACATAGATTGTTATTTGTCTCAACATTCGTATTATGTATGTACAACAACAGTTGTGAACGCTCTCTACTGTTTATTCGCATGTTGGCTGTATCTTATCGATTTTTGTTATGCGAGTCGCAAGTCAATCATTTTTTGTCTGAATTAAAGATTTCTGGGAGAATTATTTTGAATTTGAGTATTTAAGGTATGCTTTCGTCCGATTCGTCTGACACAGAACCCATCAAAAAGGTTAGGTTCGCTTAAATTCCTCCGGCTTTATCACTAGCCGTTTATAGGTAGAACGTAGATATAGTTCAGACGATGAAGGCGAAAAACTTACGGTGCCAGCACTTCCTGAGAAAAAATCTGATCATCAGGGTAAGCTGAAAAAAGTGTAAACGTCTATATGCAAATGAGCTAAATTCACATGGTTCACGTCATGTACCGTCATGTTATCGACGGCCAAATCATTTCATTTTTCGTGGGCGTTTGAACGGTTGTAAACAACCTTTTTTAGATTCAGGATCCGAGTACGATTTAGAGTTATCCGATTCCGAGAAGGATCCAACATCGAGCAGCCGCAAGCGGCCTGCTATGATGAAGAAGACACCAATCAAACGAAAAAAACAAGAGACTACTACCAAGGAGGTTCTTACCATTTGCATATATTTGCAAAGAATTTTTTAAGGATGAGAATAGATACTTGTTTGATACAGAAGATCAGTTTCGTACCTGGACAAATATGTCGGAGAAAGACAGAGAACAAAGAATATTTGAGTTAATGGAGCAGAGAGAGATAACTACTAAAAGGTTTAATTGGATACTTTTTTTTGAGTACGGTTGGGTTTAAGAGAAGAAATCACTCTAAAACTAAAAGCACAAAGTGGTGACAGTGTTCATCCCGTCAAATCGAAGATTGTAACAACGGACGATAAAAAACAACCGGGAAGTGATAGCAGCGACGAAGGTATTTTGTTATCGTGTCATAATTGACCCAACCTCCCCATTAGATGAAGCGCCTAAACCCGTCAAAGGCTCCTCTGATTCTGAAATCGATGCAGACTTCCATCGCCCAAGTGAAGTCGATAAAAAGCGTAGACAGAAGAGTGCCATGGCTGATTTATTACAAAAACGTAAAGAAAAGGAGAAAAAGAAAGGCAGTATGTGCATTTTCCTAGTTTTGTTTCACTCATATCATTCTTAGTTGCCCTATCAATTGATGATGTATTTGGTAAACCCAAAGATGGTGGAAGCGATTCGTCATCTTCTTCTGAATCTTCTTCTAACTCATCCAGATCGAGTTCTTCATCAAGGTGTATCATGGCGGATTTACATTGTTCATTTTTTGTTTAAGAAGTCCATCACCAGCCAGGCGGCACAGTGAAGACGAGAGAGAAGCTGAAAGCAAAAAACCGGTACTCAGTTCTGATGGTTAACAGTTACTATTTTATAATTCTCAGATCGATACCAAAGATGAATTGATTCGAGCTAGACTATCTCGTTTCAAACTTTCCAAAATTGTACATGCTCCCTTCTTCGGTGAGGTTGTTAAGGGTTGTTTCGTTCGAATTCAAACGGGACCAATACCAGGCAGTAAAAGCAAATACAGAGTAAAATAGCCTGTTAAATCTAACTTTATAATATTCTTTCAAGATTGCTAAGGTTTTGGATGTGGTGCAGACTGCTAAAGTATACAGTTTGGAAGGAACAAAAACTAATAAAGGGCTGAAGCTGAAATGGGGTTGGATATAAGCAAAGTGTTCGTTGTTTCAAACATACTTGTAGGAAAACATGAGCGTGTGTATCGGCTGGAATACGTTTCAAACACAGAGTTCCCTGATGATGAATATCATGAATGGAAAGAAATTACAGCACAAGAGGTTTTAACCCATTTTTGATGTTTTATGACTTCTACTGTGTAGGACATCATGCCAACTATCGAACATATACAAAAGAAGTTCAAAGAAATAGCAAAAGCTATGAATCATTCTTTCACGAGTGCTGAGATCGATTTGGTACATAAGTTAAATGAGTTGATATTTGAACATGTAATACCTAGATGCTCAAAGAAAAGGGTCGTTTCACCAAAGCACCAAAAAATTACGCGCTTTCCAAGGGAGAGCTAATGAAGAAAAAGGTTAGTAATGCGATCTCCAAAATGGTTTTAACGAACAGAACTTGTTTTCAGGAATATGCAGAGCAATGCGGTAACTTAAGAGATGCTCAGAAATTACAGAGAGAAATCGAAGAGTTAGATTCGAAAGCTGAACAACTTGTTAGTCTTTTGCAATGGAATCGTTTGAGAAAGAGTAATTTAGGATAAAGCTCGCTCTGCTGATATTTCTGGTATCACATGGATAAATCAGCGTAACAGAAATAAGATGAAACAAGCCTTCTTGGGAAATGAAATTCACGTAATGTTCCTTCTCGTCAAATTAGTTATCGCTGAGCTTGCAGGTTGATATGACTACAGGTGACGATCCATTCACAAGAAAGAAAGAACGTATGAAAGTTGTTTCTTCATCTGGGCGGAAAGAAAAATCAGATGTTAATCCCAAGGATGACGATGAAGATGGTATGATTGTACTAAAGAAACTCTGAAAACCTTTTTCGTTTACAGATTTACCACCAGGCGCAGAGGAAAAGCCTAAAGTTTCCTCTGCTACCCATAGCGCTGCTCCAGCGCAAGCACCTTCTACTTCTTCAAGTACTATGAAGTCATCATTCATGCCTTCGCTATCTAGTTCTTCAAGTAAGAATCTTTATAATATACGTACCATTAGTTGATTTCAGGAACAAGCAAAAGTTCGAATGATTTGTTTAACCTACATAGACAGATAAATCAAATTGAATTGGATATAGACTTAAGTATTCAGCTTCGCTAATTCGACAATATATTTCCATCTATTTAGACAAGCTAACCGCAACTCGCGATACTCTTCCCGGTAGACTAGATGATTTCGATGCGGGTATCATGAGAGCTCCTACTGCTATGCCGGCAGATAATCGAAGGCATGTGCTTTTTTTTACAAAGTTTTTCGATGTTATTGCTTCAGGATGGTTTCTTTGGATGATTATCGCAAACGCAAAGCAGCCTGTTTCGGCAGAGGTAAAATGAGCTAGGAGTGAAAACCGGCTAATCCTAATTGACAACACGAAACCGTATCATCTCCAACAACTTGTCATTTTTTAAACTAATAATAAATCATTTCTCTCAAAGTGACTTACCTCGTTCCACAGGTAGTTCTCCGGCAGCTGATCAATAGAGATTGAAGTAGGCAGTAAATAGGTGAGTTTTTGCAGTGGGAAAGTTTCATCAGGCAAAGGAGTGAGGAGAAAATGATATTTTATAAAGGTTACATGATGATCTTTGCAGCATTCACGACAAATTTGTAATTGATGAGATCAAAAGTCCAGTTATCAGATGTAGATTCTCAATTTAATTTTATATTTTATAAATTATTTTGAAGCCTTTTTATTTTTTTTATGCGTTAGCAGCTTTAAATATACATTTTGGCAATAAGTGAAATCTTCATAAAAAAATAAATGGTCTATTTTGTTTGTTTGCCAGAATAGACTAATGTACTGACGGTTCTGGCTTCCTTAGACAAGTTTAAGCCTGAGTTGCTCCAGCATTGATAACTCTTGAGCTGGGTTCGTTTTCACCTCTCCAAGCCTTCAGTTTCAAAACAGTTTCGATAGCGAAAAGCACAGTTAGGGCAACGCAAACAATCTGAAAAACAGCTAAATTTTTCAGAAGAAGTTCAATAACGATCTTACAGCGCTCATGATAGCAGCTCCTCTGCCATCGGTGCCCCAACTAGCGGACAAGTGAACCATGAGCCAGATAGAGATGAAATAGAAGAGAGTGTTAACACCATAGAACAAAAGCTCCTGAAAATAATAAAATGAGAGCCAATCGAGGGCTTCGAAAACATACAACAACAATCAAGCCTTCTCTTGTTGGTTCATCTCTGATGGTAACATGGGGGAAGCATACGTAAGCTAGTAAGAATCCACAAACGACAATCATAGTTTCGAAGGCAATATGCTCAGTCCATGCGGCCGTCGTTGTTCTTCTGTCAGCGCAGATGGAGAGGACGAAAGCAACAAAGGAGAGAACCTACAAATTCAAACCTTGGATCAGAGAAAATTGTAAAAGAAACTAACAATCTCTGCAATCTTGAGAACTCCACCAATAGTTCCCAAGAATCCAGTGTTGAGTTGTCCTTGTCTGTTATTTGGGATAATTTGGATCTTGCTGCTCATATGGAACTGGAGCTTCTTCTTCTCTTTAGGTGGTTGACTGGAATTTTTTTTACTGAGTAGTTCTAATAAGCAAAAGTTTTTACGTGGACATGGCTGGCTTATCGAGTTGTGATTCTTTGATTTCGGAAACGGGTCCCAAGTCTACAGTTGTTTGGCAAGCGTCGTCGTCTGATCTGAGCATCTTAAAAGAGGAAATTGTCTTCAGAGTAAGTAGAAATATATTTTTTGCTTCAATCGGAAATGGAGAATAACAATTAAACCTTGTAAAGTAGGTCTTTAGATCAAGCTCGAAGTATTAGGCGATATGGCGGAAGATAAAATCTATGAATGACCAGAAAATAAAACAAAATAATACTCTTTAACCCGGTCAGAACTTATATTGATCTCACAATATAAAATGTTTACGAGAAAAAAAAGCTTAAGGGTGTGGTCGGAAAAGACTGGCTTTTTGCGCAGGTAGTTGCCATTCTTTGCTTACAAACTAGAAATAAAATGTTTTCTGTGATAGTTACGAGTTAAGGAAGAGTTGCTCCACTTCTCGTGTCACCGCATCAGACAAATTCGATAAAAATAACATGAACATCGATTGAGACTGAAAGAGGCCAGAGGTTGATGTTGTGTGAAATGAAAAAAAAAGAAACAAATTGTTGTCAACTTTACAAAATGGTTTTCGAAGAAACTTGTGAGACCATAAGGAAGGGTCTGGATGTTGATATGGCTTGGCCTTGAACTCGATTAGGAATCGATCTCTCGTCTCCAAGTAGTTTCTCAGGTATACGAGAGGGGATAATATCTGTGGACAAGATGATCAACAGAAGTGATAGTATGTTGACACTCGTTCATTTTCTTCTTATTCTTCATCTTCTTCTTCGTTTACAGGTAGGCTGGTAAAGAGTTCTGACACGAACAATGACTGATCGGTGGCTCATGGATGATACAAAGAATGAAAGCATTGATATTGCATTGATTATGCATATGGAAATTCTTTTTTTTTATTTTGCACCAAAAGGAAGCTGACATTCACAAAAATCGTAGAAACGAAAAGTTGGAAACCAAAAAAGGGAAGCGCATCAATATTTATCAAGGGCGAAGTATTTTAATCCAAATGTGTTTCATAAAATCCGGTTATAATTTGTAAAGTTGGTTATTACTAACTTGATGATGAAAAGGAAAGCGAAGCTTAAGATATTGACTAAGAAAAGGAAAAATAGCTTACCCAAGGGTTTCCCAGAATCAAGCGGCGCTCAGAAGAGAAACAATTGATGAGCTAATAGGTCTGCTGTCTGTTACCTTTTTTTAAAGCAATAGATGGCAGAACCGGTGTTAGATGGAGATGGAAAAGAAGAAGAAGAAAAACCACAATTTTACACTAAAGGGTCTACTGAAGAAACTTGCCGCATTTCAAACATTACTACATTGTTTCTTACAATTAATAGAACTCATACTTGTTTCTAACAAAATAAATTGTATACTGATCTATTTTAAGAGATAGATATGAATGGAGCAACATAGGACAACCTCAGTTGAGCCATTAAGAGCAAAAAGGACAGCAAGTGACAAATAGACTGTTGAGGCAAAAAAAAAAGTTTTCTTCATCATTCTATGGGTCATGACCAATGTTTGATTGAACAATGTTTTTCTATGTCCATCACTCATACCTCGTATTATTATTGACTATAATAGGCAAAAGAGGTCAGTTGAGATAGAAAATGGATAGATGATTCAAAGGAAAAACGGTTGGATAGCAGCAGATAAAATTTAATTGTTGGCACTCAAAACGAAAACTCAATTTATTTGTTAGCAAGGCATATTATTCTTACCAGTTTTGTTTCCGTTGATCCATCTGGATTTTTTATTGTCACAGTCTCGGCTCCTTTCATTGGTATCCTCTTCTTGATACGAGCTACTTGCCCTGCAAAATAACCTTTAAGAGAGAAAAAAGTTTAAGCTGGGAAGTGATGAGATGTAACTCAAAAACTAAGCAGTTTAAACAAGAAAGTGAACTATGGAAGCTTCCACAATATGGGGAGAAGTTTGAAATTACGAGGAGCACCAGCTAACCATGTGTGCCGTTTGTCTAGCTTAGAGAGCATGAAACATTTTGTAAGTGCGAACGTTTTGTAGAGAGCTTCTTCTTTTTTTCTCACAATTTTTTTCACTCTCACACTCATCCTCTCTCATCCTTCCAATAGCTTCTCCCTGTGAAAATTCCTTACCTTTCCTCTCGACCTCTCACTCTCTCTCCCTCTTTTTACGAGCCAATGCTTAAGCAAACACAACAAGAGAACGTAAGACCAATTTATCCAATAATTTTTCTGTGTTTGTGATTAAAGTTTTACGAACAGTTTTTTTGAATGGTTACATGAAGTTGCTGGTATCAAATGACTTGAGAAGAAGAGGGTGGGATGAAGCGGAGTTGGATATCAACTGAAAGAGCATCACGGTGTTCAGGCAATGTTTAAAAATGTTTCGAGTTATGAAAAGAAAAATGAGAAACTTGCCAATAACTGATTCGTTGAAGAACGATACTATATCAGCTGGCAACTGAATCATGCGTAACGCTTATATAAAGTTGATCAATGTAGTAATGAAATGGCAGGGAGTGGAACAGCTATTTCTTTCATTTGTTTCTGTCAGTACAAGTCATATTGACGAGAATGATAATGAGAAAAAAAATGAAGAGAATGTAAACTGTATCGCCTCTAATTTTGGTAAAGAGAGAGAAGAAGACTGTGATAGAGAAAGAGAGAGAAAGAGATGCTTACCTCCTCGATGTTTCTTCCGCTTTGGGTTGTTTAGTTGTTCATCTTCCGCAAATCCGAGATGTGTTTCATTGTGTAGTTCTAGGGAATAAAATCGCTCAGAATCAATCATTAGATGATGATGATTCGAATGATGAACAAATTCTTTAAATTAATGAAAAAAAAGCAACGTCTGCAGGTGTAATGAAGTGCAATTCCTTGATTTCTCAGTTATCCATTGGCAAAGTATATTTGAGGCTTCAAAATAGCCAAACAGCTGACGTTAATGTTTTACGATGATGGCTATCATGCTTCAAATTACATCCACACTGCAATCATTCAAAAAGAGAAGAGATTGAGTTAAAATAATTTATTTACCAGGTGAGATAGTCCCTTTGAAATACGATGAGAAAGACAATCCGTTTCGTATTTTTTGTTGTTAATGTCGTCTTGCGTTCGGCATCTATTTAGCTCGTATACTCTTCATCAACCATAATAACAACAACTGTAGTCATTAATTCATCTCCTTTGCTACCTAATTTGGTCAACGAACAGGTGCACATCTATTGTCTCGCCATGCGATTATTCTTTTTGATGCTGGAAGGTTCTGTAACATTTTATTCATTGAATATTAAAAAAAAACCAAACTCAAATATTTTTCCTTTCCCTTTCTTTCAAATCCATTGCTATGTTCGTCTTGCAGATCAGTTATTGAACGATTACTAGCCCAAGGATTAGATGGTCTAAGCCTTTTCGAGGGCAACCTTTCCACTCTTTCTTCCTATTCATATGAATGGCAGAAGGCCACGCCCTCAAGGTAAAGGAAATGACATGCCATGAGAGTAGTGAGGAGAACTGTACCATCTGGCCCAGCTCCTTTAACCCTCTAAGCTAGACGCGCAATTTCTAGAACGTTGACAACCAACCATCTAGCTCATGCACACTTTATTTACAGCTTGTATCGAATTCTAAACCCTAATTGTTTCAGGAAACGTATCGACTATCTTGAGTTAAGGTTTTGTACTTTCACATCAATTATCCATGTTTATTTGCTGGATTTTGTTTCTTGCACCTTTAGTGCAAGCCCAAATAAGTGAGGAACATCATACTTTTCGTGTACATTTCATTCTATTCCCAGGGTTCTGCGAAGTATCAGGATCATGCAGACAGTGTCCAGATAAGCGATACACATATTACAGATGTAACACTCAGGTAAAAGTTTCTGTTCTTTGTTCCTGATCAAGCGTCTCGCTTGCAGAGAGACTGCTTAAACGGAGAAACTTGTAATGAAGGATTTTGCTGTCCTAACATTCTCAATCATCAACCTCTATCTCTTCCGCAATATAACCAAAGTATGTTACTATTTTTGAGTAGTTTACCACCTTATATGCATTATTAATTATATTGCTGTTTTCCTCGATGTAAGCTTCGCTTAAAGCTTAACTACTTTTTTCGTTCATAGCTTCTCCTGCCGAAAAACCAGTAACAGTTTTTCCAACACGTGCGACAGAGCCTTTTCCGCTTCCACCGCTTTTCCTAAGAGATAACACAATTGTTGCACAAAATAATGACGTTGATGAGAAGTGTGGAGATGGTTCCGACTGGACCTATCGGTGCAAAATGGACGCTGACTGCTCGGGTTTTACGATATGCATGGAGGGCAAATGTTGTCGAAGTAAGTTCCATTTTTTCTACATCGCCTTCCTATTAATTACTGAACTCGGTCTTTTTTTTTTTGAAAGAAGAAAAACGCAATCAAATTTTTTTACACTCCTTCCTGCTGCCTTGAACGTAATGATGGGCTTTCAGCTCCAATTAAGGTCATTTTGCCTCTTGAAAAACAAGAAGTTTGAACTTATTCTTACAATTGATTCTTTTCATTCCAAAAATGAAAAATAATGTGACCGATAAAAGGTTTCTTGAATATTTTGTGATTTGAACTAGCGCTAAATATGGCCATTTTACGATCACTATGAAACGCTATGTGCCAAAGTCCTTGGCTAAACTAGTTGCACCCCCATGTAGTAGCTTTGTGAAATGTTTGGCATCAGACGTCTTTTTACATGAAAGAGAAGCTAAGTATTAGATAATCGGACAAAATTTGATCTTAAAATAGGTCTGCCTAGACAGCAAGGTCAACCTCAAAGTAATTACAAAAAAACCTCAGCTCAATCAGTAAAATCTCTCAATATCTTGGGGAAGTTCTCAAACTCTATTTTTGCTTTTTGATGTTTACGTGAAAACCGTGAAAACATGTTTGTCTGTGTCCACGCAAGCCACGTGGATCGCAAGCGTCTATTTCAATTATATTTTCTATGAGAATTGGTTGCATCTCGTTTTAATCTACAATTTCTATATTTTCTTATTTCTTTTTTATAGCCCCGCTCCCATCTCTTTTTTCTATTCAATATTTGAAAGTAACAAATATTCTAGTCTTATAATGGACATTCAATATAGAAAAAACCATTTCATATATGTTTTTCAGCTTGTTCCACAAGAAGACGGGAAATACTCGATAAACTGGCAACAACAGAAATATTAGGTAGATCAATACCGCAATGCACACTAGATGGAAAGTACTACCGAGAAAAGTAAAAGATAACCTCATTCGTAATACAATATGATAAATAATAAGGCAATGTTTTGCGGGAACTGTCGAAAACTGCTGGTGTGTCAGTAAAACCGGAAGAAAGTTACCGCCATCCGATATGGAATGCCAAATTCAAATCCGCCGTAAAGAATCTTACTGGGCGCGAAAAGCACAAATACTCAAAGACGAGCTCAAGAAAAATGATATGGTACGATTTATTTATATATATGTTAGATATCATGTTAATATAGAAAAACTGTACGATAAGTCGTGATGGATCTTGTCCAAAGTTGAAGGATGCCAGTTTTAGACCCGCTATGTATTGTAGATGTGATGAGGACTGTTACGGAAAAAAAAAGTGTTGCAACTTCGAAGACAACAATTCGTGTGCTGATCCGGGTTAGAAAGTCAACACATAGTTAGAGTAATTTTTTTGATGTGAAGTGAAGTCCTTTCAGAATTTAAAATGCACCGTTTCGAGTTTTTATTAGCTGCTATCTGCTTTTGCTTACTATTTCATTACTTTTTTTTAACCTTTTTTCACTATTTTCAATTTGGTATGCATTGTATTATTTTTTTGCAGTGGCTTCTACTGATGACGTAACCCTTTTATGTGCAAGTAACGAACAGTTTTCTGCATGCCATTCGCCATGCCAACCCACATGTGAAGATCCAGCGATTCTTCCATGCCCGTCACCAACATGTCAAGCAGGATGCCATTGTCAACCAGGTGAGATTTCCACTTCCACACGAACCCGGAAGAAATCATTTGATATAACGACGAGTTCGGAAGTTTTTCTTAAACCTTTCTTCCCACACTTTTTAGAATTATTTTTTCTTCTAGGTTTTGTTAGAAGAGATGGATCACCACATTCCCCATGTATTTCGAAATCAGAGTGCACAATGTTTGATGTAACCTCTCAATGTTCTGATCAGCGGAGAGAGTATCAAGGTTGTGGTTCGAGCTGCCCGATCAGTTGTCAAACTCGCAACAATCCAAGGTAATCTGCTCTCATTTAATTATATATAAAATCGTTCAGATGTCATGAGAGATGTGTGACGGGTTGTTTCTGTCGCGTTCCTTTTATTCTTGAAAACTCTGAAGATCCTCTCAATTCAAAGTAAATTTGCGCTTTTTCTACCAAACTTTTTTTCTGTTAAACAGATGTATTCTTGCGTCAGAATGTCCACCTGTAGTTCCAATACTCCCTGTTAATCAACATTCGATGAGGGACTCCTACTCACAGTTTCCTATAATAGCAAATGAGAAAGTTTCTTTTTGTTTCGCTGGCTAATGATTGAACAAATATATTTGAGACCTATAACCCTTATGCTCAATATTATCCAGCACATTCAAGCACAGAGATCGCGGTTATCCCTAATACGAATCGTTGCGCCGACTCTCTGAAGAATTATTTGAGTTGCGGTACCAAATGTCCAGGTATTCATTCGATTTTTCGATATTTCGTGAATATGTGTTTATAAGTGGGATGTAATGCTGTATCACCCTCAGTAAGCTGCACTCTAGATTGCGTACCAGGATGCTTCTGTCATGCACCCTACATACTTATTGATGCTTCGGTAGAGAATCTTTCTTATTTTTTTCATTTCATCCTATGCTATCCAGGATCATCAATCGGCTTGCGTTTTACCGCAGAATTGTCCTAGAGTAGACTCTTCTCATCATACATGTGCTGATCCGAGGAAAGAGTATAGTGTTTGCGGAGCTGGAAGGTTTAAATCGTTTTTGGCCACGAGAAAAATAACTATTTTTTACAGTTGCGCTCGATCTTGCTCTAATTTATTAGGAAGATGTGAATCTAGTCAGTGTTCATCCGGTTGTATATGCAGGGAGCCTTACGTACTTCAGGTATATTAAATTAAAATTGCTTGGACAAATGATTATGACATCAAAACATTGTGAGAATCCGAAAGTGCGATATCCCCATATATCAAGCATAACGCACGCGCGGTTCACGATCACTTTCTGCTCGTATTAACTAGCTTCAATCTCATATGATAGAAGCCCAGTAACGAGCACAAATATGTTGTTCATTCGGCTACATATATACTACGCAATGTCACTTGACGTACATGATACGAGTTGAAGTCAAAATTTTTAACATATACATTGTTCTCGCAATACAGAAGTTGTCAAAACTTTGCGATTGTTGTTTGTGTTACGACCTTGCGACAATCGTAACATAAAAGCCAACCATTAATTCTCAGCTTACTTTACATAATGTTAACTAACATTTAGTTGACATTTTCTGAAGAGCTATCAGGAAGTTTTTGATCGAACCCTATATAGCTACTCGGAATGTTCAACGTACACAAAGCGAGTAAGTCACAAGTGAAGACTGTACATGTACGTATTCGCATTGCTTGTGGCGAACAGCCGATTTAGAAGTTCTTGACGAGTATTCAAAA